TGATATAATTATATAAATTTCAGCACGTCAATCTCGGCATTCTTTCAACCTTACGAATTGGAGCTGTCCAGTTCAACAGTCCAACCGTTCAAAGCAGGTGGTACCTGGAGTATGCAATAGTACGCGATCAGATAACTGGCCGTACCTATAAGTACGCGTTGTGTTAGCTGTTCTAGCAATGATCTGTTTCTTTTAGGTTTCCTTGTGGACGTTGGTTTGGCAGAAGCGTTGACGATGGTAGCTTGGAGAGGTTGTTAATTGCTGAGCCCTTGCCCCAGTCCAGTGGTTTTGGTATGTCACTCTTTTCACAAAATTAAATGGACCCTTTTAAGCTTAATTAAGATTCCCATCATAAGTAAATTACGATTTCATGAAGGCATAGTGTATCACCATTTTGTTTCTCGTAAGATAACCACGTTGGTGCTGTTTTAGAGTACTTTTGTTTACCATGTACAGTTGTAGTGTTTTGTTTGCTCAAGTCCATTTCTACTAGTGAATCATCCCAGGATTGTCTGACTGTTCCCTTCGGTGTAGTACTATGAGTGTATCTGTCAAACGTTCAAACGTCTCCTGATACCTTCACACTGTTGGGAAACTGAGAATGCAGAAAACTTGCTAACGGAGATGTTTAATCATTACTGGGAACTAGCAGTCATTATTCATTAACATGGCGAGACTAGAATAAGTGTTGTGGATTCCTTTCCCATATAATCTCGATGTGCGAACCGTAAACATGACTTTATACTTAACACATTTTTGGATTTACTTCTTTAAACACAGCGTTGTGCCTAAGACATTAGGGATGATCTTCTTCCAGATTTTCACACTTATACCTGATGTAATGACAGGTTGTGACTTTTTTTGTACACTGTAAATTCGTAACGCCCCTCTATTTTCTGGTTATTTAGTACTTCTTGGTGAGTAGCTTGCCAGTGGTAACATGCAGTATTTCTTGCACAGTAAAGTAATACCCCGATTTACGCGAACTCATAGTTACGCGGTTCTTGATTTTTTCGTTTGGCGACACTGCCGCCCGCTACTTTCAGTGTTTTCTCTTGCTGTGATACGCATGACGTGTTTTCCGCGAACTGTACGTTGACGATTACGATTTTATGATCGACAACCGTTAAGATTGTTTTATTATACGTTTTCTGAGCTATTAAAAATTGTCTTTAAAACGAAGTAAATCTGATTCACCTGCACCTAGTTAGAAAAAAAGAACGATATCTTTGGAGTGGAAACTTAACATTATAAAGGATTTTGATAGAATGAAAATTTATGAACTGGCAAAGAAGTTTCAGCTTCCGGAATCCATAGTAAGAACAATCATAAAAGATAAAGAAAGAATTCTCGATGCGGTGAAAAATGCTTAATCCTTCAACTTAAACAATTTATACACGTCATGGTACTATTGCTGAGATGGAAACAATGCTGAAATTATGGTCTGATAATCAAGTAAAAGTACTGAATTGTTCAGTCGATCAGAATACTGTTATATCAAGCTAAGATAATTTTTGAAAGATTGAAAGGAGAAGCAGGGGAGGTGAGCGAAGATGAAAACTTTGTAGCTACTAACGGTTGGTTCAACTGATTTAAAACTCGCCGCAATTGGCACAGCATCGCGGAGAGTAGAGAGGCGGCAAGTGGCGATAAAGAAGCTGTGTCTTCTTTTCCTGAGACACTCAGGGCCATGATAGAAGAAGGTGACTGTGGCAGTGAAACAGCATTTGACGTGGATGACACTGGCCTGTTCTGGAAGAAGATGCCTAAACGAACTTTTATCGCACTTGAAGAAAATCTTTCCAGGCTTTAAGGTTTCTAGAGACCGATTGACAGTGATGGTTGGCGGAAATGCAGCTGGTGACTGCAACTTAAAACTTTTCTTAATTTACCGCTCCGAAAACTCAAGGGCCTTAAAAAATATATTTAAAATTAGCTTACCATTGATTTGGAAGTCAAATCATAATGCTTGGGTGACAGCTTCCGTTTTTGAATACTGGTTTGGTCACCAAGTCACACCCGAAGTCGAACGTTATTGCAAGTCTAAAGAGATTCCATTTAAAGTGATGCTTGTTATTGATAATGGACCCTGTCACCCTCCTGTCACCTTAATTGATTTCGATCCACGTGTGAAAGTTGTTTTTTGCCTCCAAACACGACCAGCTTGCTTCAACCGATGGACCAGGGAGTCATCGAAACATTCAAGGCTTACTACACGATGCATTCGTTTACACGCCTGAACGAAGCTGCGAGGCAAAACAGTGAGGTATCTGTTAAAGGCTTTTAGAAATAGTTCAGTGTTTTAGATGCCGCAAGAATCATTGAAACGTCTTCGGATGAAATTTGTTACTGAACATTGAATGGTGTCTGGAAGAAATTTTTTTAAAAACGAGACCGAAACAAGCCAGAAACTAATCATGTCGCTCATGTGCTAAAAGAAGTTATTAATCTTGTCAGGCTATTAGATTTGGAAGTCAGTGGTGATGTCAACAAGCTGTTGGATTCACGTAGTACGGAGCTGGCAATTGATGAGTTAATAGAAATGCATGAGCAAAACATCACTAAAGTATCCGACAGTTCAGATGCAGTTACACCAGAAAAGCACATGACAGTTGCAAGCTTGGCAGAAGATCTCAGCTCAGTTGAAAAGAGCTTAAAAATTTTAGAAGGCAGATTCCACCGAAGAAAGCGTTATACCTACAAAGCAAGGAATAAAAAAATAGTTTGCTACGAAGAAATTCTGTGCGAAAAAAGAAGGCATTGTGTCGTCGGACGAATTTGTTAGATTTTATGGAGCCATCGACATCAAAATAACATTCTTACGTAACTCATTTTTTAATAATTTGTGTTAATGTGTATAAAGAACTGCAATTTTATTAGCCATTTTTCTTCTGAACTAGTGTTTTTGTTAGTCCTTGGTCCCAGTTACACAATTTATATGTATTTATATGCAAATTTCTACCCCTACTTAACGCGAATTCGACTTACGTCTTCGATTTACGTCTTACCCACTATCGCGTAACTTTGGAATATTACTGCAAATGCTTTACAATCTGCGTGATTTCCTTGTCCTGTCTGATATGTTTGCATCTTCATCTTCCAACGCCGTTTCTCCTTTCGGGTCGCGGAGGCAGACGCCCCAGACAGTGCTTCCAACGTTCCCGATCCTGTGCCAGAGTCTGAGCTTCGGCAAA